TGATTCATTGCTTCAAGAAGCAGCTCTCCTGTCAAATGCGGAAAGGCTGCCAGGGCATGGATTCACCTCATAACCCCCAACATCCCGATATTCATTAAGAATGCTGCCACTGGGACCCAGCCTGAAGCACCACTTCCATCAGGCTTTGCTTTCTTATGGACGTTTCTATCTTCACATCATGTTTTCACCTGTGTTTTTTCCTCAGAAAACAAAGTCTTCCAACCTCCACAGTCCTGCCAGGGCAGTTCAGAGCAGCCTTGCCCACAGCCACAAGGGCACCTCACCCCATCCGACTTGGAGGGCATGCGGGCAAATGTGGGGGCCCAAGTCCACACCCAGCTCTGGCCCCCACATCCCCTAGTCTGTGAGGTGCTGCCACAGCAACTGCTCAGTCTGACCCCAAAACCCCTACTGTTATTTGATTCTAATTGCCACCCCTCATGTTCTTCTACAGGTAGTGTTGTCTCCCAATTGCATAAGAATGCTGAATAAGATTTCTGAACTTTCACAATAGAATGGCAATCCTACCCCTGCCTCTTCTAGCGTCCAGAACACATAAATGTGTATTTAGCCCCATATGAAGTAGACAACACATCAAATCCTTTTGGAGAATTGTAGTTTTTTGCCATCCACTGCCAGCAAAGGCTCCACTAAGACTTGACAGTGAACACCCCTTAGGCAGCCTTTTTTTTTTTTTTTTCTATACCCCACCACCAGGAGTTTCCTTTTTTTTAACTTCTATCAACTATTTCTACCCATTCTTGAATTTCTTGTAAAGGGAATCATATGCTTTCTTTTGTGTCTGCCTCCTTTTGTTCAATATACCTGTGAGAATCATTCACATTGTAATGTCTACCAGTAGTTTTCTCATTTTAATTGCTGTGAAGTAATTATCCATCATTGTATGCATATATCATAATTTGTCCATCTCTTCTTGGTAGACTTTTTTCTTTCAATTTGGAGCTGTTATAATGAAGCAACTATGAACTCTGAACATTTCATTTTGTGGAACTGTGCACTCAGGAGAGGAATTACTGAGACATAGTGTACACCAGAGGTCAGCAAACTTTTTCGGTAAAAGGCAGATAGGAAATATATCGACTGTGCAAGCCATACACTCTCCATTGTAATGAGTCAACTCTGCCATAGACAATATGTAAACAAATGGGCATGCCTGTGTAATACAATTTTGTTGACAAAAGCAGGTGGTGGCCTGGATTTAGCCCATGGGCAGCAGTTGGCTGAACCCTGGCATAGATGTTTGGTTTGCTTTAGTAGAAAATGCTGAATAATTTTGCAGTATGGCTATTCATTTATTACTCTTACGCAATACTTTATAAGAATTCAATAGATGCTTCACATTTTTGTCAACACTCAAAAGTATCAGGTCTCTTTAGTTTTGCCATTGTTGTAACCACATAGCATGTCTCACGGTGGGTTTCTGTGTGATCTCATTAACGATATTGAACACTCAAAATACATGTATTGGCCATTTGTATTTCGTCTCTTGTGAGGTGCTTGTTCAAGTCTTTCGGACATTTTTGACTGCGTTGTGTTCTTGGATTTGTAGGAGTTACATTGGCTATGAACCTGTATTATCTACTGCTGCATAGCAATATTACCATAAACTTAGAGATGCAAATAAACATACATTTGTTATTTGACAGTTTCTGTGGGTCAAGAGTCTCAGCATGGCTTAGCTGGGTCCTCTGCTTTAGGATCTCTCACATAGCTGCAACAGTTACGTTGGCCAGGGCTGTGGTCTCATCTTTTGCTCAAATGAGGAAGGATCTTCTTTCAAACTCATGTGGTGGCAGCATTCAGTCCCTTGTGGTATATCCACCTTCCAGTCTGCTGCTTGCTGCCTGTTGCCTACAGGTTGCCCTTAGTTTCTCGCCATGTGGGCTTTCCCAACATGACTGCTTGTTTCCTCAAAGCCAACAAGGAAGAGTATCTCCTCATGAGATGAATATTACAGGCTTGTGGAATAGAGTCACATACACATAGTGACGTACATCCCACCACTTTTGCCACATCCTATTGGTTAGAATCAAGTCAGGCCCATGAAAACTCAAGGGGAGAGGATTACACAAGGGTATGAATACCAGGAGTCAGGGGTCATGGGGACTAATTTAGAGTTGTCTGCCACAGAGTCCTTGTCAGATATGTCATACATATCTTCTCCAGTCTGTAATTTGCCTTTTCCTTTTCTTTGATAGAAAAAAAAATCCACTTTTTAATTTTGTAGATAGCGTTTTGTTGTTGTTGGTTTGTAGAGTCAGGGTCTCATTACATTGCCTAAGCTGGTCTCGAACTCCTACCCTCAAACAATTCTCCTGCCTCAGCCTTCCAAAATGTTGAGACTGCAGATGTGAGCCACCACACTGGCCCTAGATAGTGGTTTTTTATTATCTGTTTAATAATTCATCATTTACCTAAGATCATGAAGATATTTTAGTCTGGTTTTCCTCTAGACTAGTGTTTCTCAACCTTGGCAATACATTTGAGGCTAGATAATTCCTTGCTAATTATTCTTCTGTGCATTGTAGGGTGTTTAACAGCAGCTCTGGCCTACCCATCAGATGCCAGTAGCACTTCCTTCCAGTTGTGACAATCAAAAATCTTGCTAAATGTCTCCCAGGGCTAAAAGGCCCCCAGTTGAAAAGTACTGTTCTTAGATGCTTTATAGCTTAATTTTGGAATATAATGTCTATAATCCGAGTTAGTTGCTTTATATTGTTCCATATATCGAATTTCTCTACATTTACTGAAAAGTTCATTTCCCTCGTGAATTGCAACTTTGTCGTACATTAAGTAATCATATATGTATGGATTCTGTTCAATTTATCTAACTTCAATCGTCAGGCCAGTAAAACACTTCCGTAGTTTTTTGGTAGGTCTTGAAATCTGTTCTTGTAAATCTTCGAATTTTGTCATCATAATTGGCTATTCTAGGTCCTTTGCATTTCCTTCTATATTTTGAACCAATTTGTCAATTTTTACACACAAAAAAGTCTGAGATTTTTACTGGAAATAAATCTATACATCAATTTGAGATAATTGTAGTCATAACAATATTATTTCAGTACATAAAATGATAAACCTTACTTAGTTCCTTTTTAATATCGCTCAAGATTTTCTGGTTTTCAGCATAGAGATCTTGCAACTATTTACTTCTAGATATTTGCTAATGCTTTCCAGCTTTACTGAGGTATACTTGACATATAAAAAGTGTGTATACTTAGTGTACATGATTGCATATATGTATACATTGTAAAATGATTGCCACAATCAAGCCAATTAGCATATCCATCCATTCCTGCACGTTTTTGTTTTTTTTTTTGGTGGTGGTAACATTTAAGATCTACTTCCCTAGTATTTAATATTTCTTATACCATTGTAAATAACATTGTTTTCCTAATTTTATTTTCTAATTGTTTGTTGCTAGTATGTAAATATACAATTATTTTTTATATCAGTCTTGTATCTAGTGATCTTACTAAATTCATTATAAGATACTTTGAATTCTGTGTGTATGCAATCAGGTCATCTGTAAATATCTTTTTACTTCTCTTTACTCTTTATATAATTTTCTTTTCTTTCCTCTGACTGGGATCTCCTAAACGATGCTGAACAGAAGTAGTGATGGTGAACATTCTAATCTTTCCTCCAAATTTAGGGGGAGAAATAATTCAATATGAAAGCATTAGGTATTATGACACTTTTTTTGTAGACACTCTATTATATTGAGGAATTTACCCAGTTTCTGAAAATTACAAGGTTGGCTGCTGAATTCTGTCAAATACTTTTTTTCCTCCTTTTTTGTGCAGCTATTAAAATGGTTATACATTTTTCTCCTTTATTCTATTAATGTGGTCAATTACTTGATTTTTGAATGTTACAGCAGCCTTGCATCCCTGGAATAAACCCATTTGGTCATGAGTCACTATCCGTTTTATGTAACCTCTTTTTACATATTGCTGGTAATTTTGTTTAGGATCACTGTCTTTCATGTTCATGAAAGGTGTTAGTCTGTGATTTTCTTTTGTCAAGTTTTGGTGTCAGAGAAATCTGGGTCTCATAAATTCAGTTGGGAAATGTTTCCTTTTTCATTATGCTCTGAAAGAGTTTATGTTCCATAAACACAGTATTTCATCTTTAGATGCCTGGAGAAAATCACCGATGAAACCATCTGGGCCTAGAGTTTTCTTTGTAAGAAAGTGTTCAACTTTTAATTACATAATTTAGTCTATAGAAATTACATCTCTGATTACGAATGGAAGACAATAGAAACATTCTTGAAGATGTCAATTATATTAATTTTTGAGGAAATGTACATAACTATAATATATAGAGATGTGGAAGCACAAGAGGTCTTCAATAAACCCAGAAATGCAGAGAGCACTGATATTTACATACCCACACATAGCATCACTTTCAATTTAGCATGCTATTATTGTTTTCTGCTCCCAGGCGTCCTAGAAAGGTTATTTTCATGTCTGGATTTCTGATTTAGCTGCAAGATGTAAAAATCCTACATAGTCAGACAACCTGCTTTGGCTGTATCATCAGGAATGGCTTAAAAGCAAAAATGACATTCCAGTTATTCCACACACAAATCCCTGATATTAACATCCCTATCCTAAAAACAGCCATTTGGAAGGAAAGCCCTATTTCAAAGCAAAGGGAATGTGAGTAAGACAATATCTGCTCCTGGAAATGTCAGACTCAAAATTGAGTTCTTTAGATGAGAGTCGATTCTAAAATAACATCTCTGATTTGTTATATAATAAAACATAATGGCTTTATAAACTTTATATAAACATTGTCAATTTCTGATGATTTTCTCTTAAAAGGGTAGCTCTGAAGTGATTATTCTCTCTTTAAACTGTATTTACTGGGCTGCTGACTTTTTTTCTCTGATTTCATTCATTCCTTTTCCCCATCTCCCCTTCCCCTTCCTTTTTTTGATTAATGAACACAATCTTTGAGAAATAAAAGACTTAAGCAAAGATCTTTTATTCGTGGTTAGGCTTACACGGTTCCAAAAAGTAAACATAATTAACAAAACACTTAAAAGTACCAGAGGAGGTGCCCCGGTATCAGTAGAAGGCACTGATCAGACCAAAGAAGAAAGCTTGACACGGATCTTCATGTACAGATGCCAGCTTCAGTCCTGTCAAATGAACATGTTGTCCTCTCAGTGGTAACAGTTAGTAGGCCGGAGCAGAACTGGAGACTCTTCTCCACTGGTGTAGGCAGCCAGAGCTCTCCAGGAGTATTATTATAGATGACGTGAAGGTGACTACCATGGTGGCAATGACAACAATCTCAGTTACAATGACAACAAAGCTAAGGCCATCAGTAGAGGCTTGACACGATCTAGAAATCCTTCTGGAGCCTCTCCTCAGCTGATCATCCCTGATACATCCCTTGGATGGCCACAAAATCCATTTTCACAAAACTGAATCCAATGCATTGTGTTATCACTGCAACACACACGAGTTCTGGTAGTTGCTAATTTGGAAAAATGGTAAATACTAATACTATTGCGTCATTTTGGGAATGAGTCAAATCTATACTACAAGAAAAACATGAACAGACACACAGGTACTTTTGGTGGTATGGCTTTAAATTCTGTGCTTGGCTATAAAAAGCATTATAAGCAAAGTTAATGAATAACAGTTTTTATTAAAAAGAAAAAAAATAAGTAATTTACTATACCAAAATCAGTTTAAGACATATTAAATCAAAAAAAACACAAATACCTTTACAAAAACTGAATTATATAATTAAACAGAGTGCTCTTCATACATTAATACTGAATATGTTAAGTTACTATATATTAAAGATATAATTTGAAAACTAGAGCTGTTTCAAAATACTGTGTTCAAATGTCATTCTTTGGGGACCCAGAGAAATTGCCTGATCACCATGTTGTCCTTCCACAAGGGGTTTCTCTTCTGAGTCAGGAGAGAGTCATTAAGTAACATTAAAAAAAAGAGTAAAACATAAGGTCCAAATTTAACTCACTTCCTGAGACTCACATAGAGCTTGCTGACTTGAACAAAACACATCAACATTGTTTTAAAATATTGAGGACACTATTTTCTGGCAGCATCTACTACACTTTCATGTTACAAGTAGGCCATAAAGATAGGGCTTCAGGGAGCAATAGAACACAGATGAACTTCTAAAGCAATACGAAGCTCTAGCAGAAGACCTCATTCTCTTTACGAGGCACAAACAGCAAAAGAAGAGAGAAAACATAACCACCATGATTACAGACTTCAAGGGATTTCATAGCTAGAGTTTCATGATGTTTTATGTACAGTATTATTCCTTAACACAGTATTATTATTCCTACTGAGTTCCCAGGAAATAATCTGCATCATCAATAATATGGTTTAAAAGTTCATACCATTGCTAACAAGAGTGAATGTCAAAAGACTTTCACTCTTCTTTTTATATATACAAATAGAACTGTAGACAGTCACATCTCTCCAGGCTCATGCCCAACTGAAACTTCCATTATAATGAAGAGACAGAACAGGAAAGGGACTTCTGGTACTATTTATTTTCCTGTGACAATAATAAAAACTGCTGTATCACAGCTTGTAGAATAAACAGTCATCACTAAGTGTTAAAACAACTGCGTAAGTCAAAAGCAAGTGATTTTTCCCAGAAAAAAAAAAAAAAATGTTTCTCCTATGACCCCTTTTCTTCCTCTGTCAAAAAATACCATACATAAAATCTCCCCCTAAAGTCAGGAAGCGTCCAATGCCATGTGGCAGACACACGCGTTGTGAGCACAGCACAGTGGGATGAGGCCACAGTCTCCAGTTCATTCCTTGCACAGGCTATGCTCACAGGTCACCCTGCTTTATAACTCCTCTCGAAAACCTTTCTGTGTGTCCTGCCGGGCTTTGGCTTCCTCAGTGGGTGCCAACCATGTGAAATACACCTTCACTGGATCGATGTTCCAGTGTTTGTGGAACGATATGGGAACCTGATGAGAAAGGTAGTCCTTAGGGTAATCCACCGGCCGAGCCTGCAGGAAAAAGAGAGAGTTAGGCTTCCTTGTTGATTGAAAATAATTTTGCTGCAGAAGAGCATTTGAGTTGATAAAGTGGATTGCTTTACTTCACTACTTAATATTGGCTATGGGAATCTAAAAGCAAAAAGGAAACTATTTTCTGATCTCTTTCTTCTAATTCCAGGTTCTTTGCTTTTGTGTCTCCAATTACCTTAATACCCCAAATGCACTGCTTTTTGCTTGTATGTTCCACAGTCTTGCCTCTGGGAGATTCCTGAACCATAGTAATAAATACAAAAAGCTTTCTTTGGTAAGCCATTTAAGTTACTATTATCACTTCTGCACAAAGACAGAAAAACTGTTACATTCCAGGTACTTCTAAGGAAACTCTGGCCATATGTGGGTTGTGGGGGGCCAGAAGTGGGTTGTGGGGGGCCAGGGCAAAGATTTCTCAGATTTCCCTTGGCCTGTCTAATGTGTAATTAGGTGACCTCATTCGAAGAAAGAAAAGGAGCTCACTGGGGGAGAAGGATAACGTAACTCATACTCTCTTCCTGCCCAAATATCTAGTCTAGTTCCAGAGGTGTAAATGAGGTGTAAATGAGAATTGCAAGTAACCCAAAATTGTCTGCGAAAGGACCTAAAAAGTTTTTATATTATCTACATTGCAACATTTTTTAGAGGTTAGAAAATAAAACTTAAGCAGAACTAGATACAGGTTAGAATAAGATTGAAGAAGTAAACTATAGGGTTAGAAAGAAACTGAAATCAGATACTATGTTGTTTTCTCTAAGTAAAGTATCCAGTTTCTCTTGGGAATCTGGGAATCACCTTTTTTTTTTTTTTTTTTTCCGAGATGGAGTTTCACTCTGCCGCCCAGGCTTTTTTTTTTTTTTTTTTTTTCAGTTTACTGCAACCTCTGCCTCCTGTGTTCAACTGATTCTCCTGCCTCAGCCTCCTGAGTAGCTGGGATTACAGGCATGCACCACCATGCCTGGCTAATTTTTTGTATTTAGTAGAGACGGGGTTTCACCAAGTTGGCCAGCCTGGTCTCGAACTCCTGACCTCAGATGATCCACCTGCCTTGGCCTCACAAAGTGCTGAGATTGCAGGCGTGAGCCACTTTGCCCGGCCAGTAACCATCTTAAATTTGTTTATTAATTTATATGGGCCATCTGTTTTATAAAGTAACTCACTAGGTCATTGATGCTACAATTGTCTTGACTATCAAAACCAGATGTGATGCATCTTAAAAACAAGCCTTTTGTAGGCTACTATTTTATTACAGTCTGCCTAAATCTTTGATATGAATAAACTCCTTTAAATGGTTTACAGAATACCTTTGTTAAATTTTATCTCATTTAATCCTAGAAACGACCTTGTAAAATGGACAGAATATTATGGTTCACTTCCAGTTTACCGCTGAGGAAACCAGAGCTCCCAGAAGTAACATGACTAGCAAACACTGGACTAGAGACCAGAGAGAGGTGCTGAGCCCAGGGCCAGTGCTCTGCCAGGGCACGGGCTGCCTCTGCTCAAGCCGTCTCACCACCGGCTGGGCACACTCAACAGCGCCTGGCCTAACCTACCTCCACCAGCACAAATACACTATTCAGACGAGTGTTCCAACAATAATATCTGCGGAGAAAAGGTCAAAAGAATCTAAGGGGAGAACTTTCACAACTGCTATTTTTAAGAAATTGTAACTGCTCATGGAGATAAAAATCTAAGAGGAATTTTAAAAGGAAGAAACAGTGAGACAGACAAAAAATACACACTGGAATATAGTCTAATAGAGTTGGGAAAGGTTTGAATATTAGGTGAAGGAATTCATTTATTATACGATGTTTCTTTGCAAGGCCCTCTGAGAGAGTTTACTGGCAAGGAAGAAAACCAAGGACAAATACTCTCTCAATTCCGTTAGAAGATAATTCCACAATGATCCCAGAAGAAAGAGTAGTTCCCCCTTATCCATGGTTTCACTTTCTGAAGTGTCAGTGTCCCACAGTCAATTTTAGTCTGAAAATGTTAAATGGAAAATTCCAGAAATAGACAATTCCTAAGTTTTAAGTTGCGGGCCCTTCTGAGTATCAGGATGAAATGTGGGGTGTCCCACTCCATCCCGCACTGGACAAGAATCCTCCCTTTGTCCAGCACCTTCATGCTGTCTACACTCCCCGCCCCTGAGTTGCTAGAAGCCGCCTCATTATCCAGTCCACTGCTGCAGTATCACAGTGCTTGTGTTCAAGGAACCCTTATTTAAGAATAGCCTAAAGCAACAGTAGTGATGCCAGCATACGGTTATAATTGCTCTATTTTATTACTGTTCATCTCTTACTCTGCCTACTTTCTAAAGTAAATTTGATCATAGGTATGTAAAGTATAAGAAAAAACAAAGTATACGTAGGATTCAGTATATCCAAGGTTTCAAACATCCACTGGGGGCGGGGGGAGTCTTGGAACGTACCCTCTCTGGTTAAGGAAGGGCTACTGTAAAAGCAATGGAAACAAATCCTTGCTTGTTTTTCACCTTTAAAAATGAACTGTTGAAGACAGAAATGCATCTAACAGGAAAAAAAAATAAATCGTAACATTTTTTCCCTCGATTAATGCAGATTCTAGAAGTGATTAGCCTATGCATGCATTAAAAGAGCTGACTTATTAAACATTACAATTTGCTGGTCATTTTTGACAAACGAGGTCATGGAAAAGCATTAGACAAAACTAGAAAAGTGAAATACATCCAAAATGGTATCTTTAATACCAAGAAGTCTATGCAGCCTCTAATAATCATATCTCTCTGCCCAAAATGCCAAGAGGAAATCCCAAACAGGAGGGTGAGGGGTGGGGAAGAACTTGAGGAACAGAGTGTGGTAGGCATCTGCATACAGGAAGAGAGAGGGGCTGAAACTGCATAAGAAAGACCTACAGCCGGACGGGCGTGGTGGCTCAAGCCTGTAATCCCAGCACTTTGGGAGGCCGAGGCAGATGGATCACAAGGGGGAGACGGTCTCACGAGATGGTCTCACGTGAGACCATCCTGGCTAACACGTGAAACCCCGTCTCTACAAAAAATACAAAAAATTAGCCGGGTGAGGTGGCACACACCTGTAGTCCCAGCTACTCGGGAGGCTGAGGCAGGAGAATCGCTTGAACCCAGGAAGTACAGGTTGCAGTGAGCTGAGATCATGCCACTGCACTCCAGCCTGGGCAACAGAGCAAGACTTCATCTCGAAAAAAAGAAAAAGGAAAGACCTCCTACATTGGGCAAAATTAGAACTTTTCAAAAAAAAATACTGGAGCACACTAAACAGGGCAACAAATGGAGACTAAAATCACATTTCCTTAGACAAATGCATTTTTATAACTGTGTTAAAAAAATGATTTCCATACCATACAGTTCACCCACCATAATGGTGGTCTAAAAAAAAAAGGGAAATTTCCGGAGTTGAGCAACCACCAACCATTGCACACTGCCATGTTCATTAGTGGCACACAATTTTGGAAGAACAGAAAACCACATGCTCTAGGTGCTGTGCTTTCAACAAAGGGAAATACTAGGTATTCCCTGGAGTCCCCTTCTAAATCTGTGAATTCACAATAACTTTCTCTAAAAACAGAAGAAATGTGACGGCCCAGGCAATTTTGCATTTGAGACTGCTTCCAAATGCCCACTCTGTCTCTAGCTCATCAGGATTCTTACATTTTATCGCTTTGCCTCATATTTCTTTGTGAAGATGAACAAACACAGTTTGGACCAGTGTTTAAACACTATAAATGGAAAGCAATGTCCAAATCGTTATCAAACTCTCTAAAAGAGGCTTAAGAATTGGAAGATACAGGCGTTATCTGTTGGGGAGGATAGGTTTTAAACATATTTTATGATTTTAGAAGAGTTTAAAATGTATGTGAATTAGGGAAATCAAGGGTTCTGAAGTGGGGGAAACAACAACCTTTTTTAAAAAAATTATCTTCAAAGGACTTTCGCCTATAGATGATTTTCCTTCTTTCTTTTCTCCTTATCATTTTACTAGCTAATTTATTCTTCCCTAAATGAAAAGGGCTGCTATAAAAATCTAAGACCTGTCACACTAAACTTGATAAATTATTTCCCTTATACACTAACAGTTTTAATTACCCCTTTTATTGCGTGACTGAAACACCATGAAACAGAGCAAGAGAGGGAGCCGCAGAGAATAACGCTTTCTTTCCTAAGTCATCCTAACACAACACAGGCCTAAAGCGGGTGAGACCTCTCAAAGCCCTAAGGACAAATAAGTATCTTCTAACTGACATCAGAAAGGTTTTTCATACATTTCCTTATATTAAAGGTCTATTTTATGCTCTGTTATTGTCTCAAGGATACAGAAATGGATTCTGCCTTTCCTGATGATGCAAACACTTTCTTAGTCTTATTCGAGTTGTTTTCTATAGTACTATTTCTGTCATGCTAAGTTTTCTATATTGCTGTGATAATGTTTGCTACTGGTTACTAAAGAAAGCAAGCACAGGCCAGGTGCAGTGGCTCACATCTACAATCCTAGCACTTTGGGAAGTTGAGGTGGGAGGATTGCTTGCGTCCAGGAGTTTGACACCAGCCCGGGCAACATAGTAAGACCCCCATCTCCATAAAAAAAAAAAATTTTTAAATTAGTCAGGCATGGCGGTGTGTGCCTGTAGTCCCAGAAAAAAAAGAGACTAAGGCAAGAGGATCATTTGAGCCCAGGAGATCAAGGCTGCAGTGAGCCACGTTGCAGTGAGCAAGACCCTATCTCAAAATAAATAAATAAAAATAAGTAAATAAAGCATAAAAACTATTTTCAGTATAAGAGAAGGCACCTAAAATACATATGCATACACACTTCAAGTTTCAAAAACTTTAAATTTCTTGAAGGAGGATATTAGATGGGTATGGATCTATGGTTATTTTAAGTTTGTGAACATCTGCTATTATTCTTAGCAGAAAATTCACTGACTTGGTTCGTAAAAGATACTAAAAATAAAGCAGAAGGATTTCCTTCTCCAACCCCCGAACTGCAATATGGGGAGGCTATAAGCACTACCCGTCCCTGGTAAACACAAGCTCATGTCTTCTGTTCCATAACCCCAAGAATATATGCTTACTGAGATACCCAATTGCAATTTAATAGATTTTAGCCATTCAGTTTAATGGCAAGTGAAGGAGAAAAATCTCAGTAAAAAGACAGACAGTGTAAAAACTGAGGATGGTGTAGAATTACATAGACTCAGGGGCCAGTAGGACAATATTAGGTCAGTACTATGTATTTCTAGGCAGCATCCAGTAATTTTTAAATGCCACCAATCTTTCTAACTAAAAAACAAAAACCAAAAAAATCTGGGCGCAGTGGCTCACGCCTGTCATCCCAGCACTTTGGGAGGCCGAGGCGGGTGGATCACGAGGTCAGGAGATCAAGACCATCCTGGCTAACACAGTGAAACCCCATCTCTACTAAAGAATACAAAAAATTAGCCGGGCATAGTGGCAAGTGCCTATAGTCCCAGCTATTCGAGAGGCTGAGGCAGGAGAATGGTGCGAACCCAGGAGGTGGAGGTTGTAGTGAGCCAAGATTGTGCCACTGCACTCCAGCCTGGGTGACAGAGCAAGACTCCGTCTCAAAACAAAACAAAACAAAAACCCAGATTTTCCCTGGTCCTACATGTGAGGATCCCAGTCAAACGTCACTTGGTTTTCAGTATGTTTTTGCCTCCCGTCTTCATGATGTACATGATGCAGTGTTACATCAAACAGGGTAACAGTCCTGTTAAGGACGTTCCCCTGGAGCCTGTCAACACAGTTCTTTGTCTGTTTCCAGGATATGTGAAGAGAAGGTAGTCAAATCCTTAAGTGAGAAGAACCTGTCCCCCACCCTCCGTGAGGGAAGAATAAAAACCATTTCCTCACCTGATGGAAGAGAGGACTGTGTGTCACAGGGATTCCCAAGCCACTGAAGCACATTCCCAGGACCATATCATCAGGAGCATCATTGCTGTAGCACCGACATTTACTGGCGAGAAGTCTCCTGATGGCTTCTCTGCTGAAGACCATTCTAGTGGGAGCCAGAGCAGAGAAAGGGGTTAGAGCAGCTCCACAGGGACCGCTGCGGCACAAATGGGCCCCGGGAAACAGGACTCTACTCCTCCAGACTGACAGGCAATAGCAGCTTTCTCTAGTTACTGAGCTCAGGTAAACCCTACCTGTTGTCTTTTAGTCTTCTGGCCCTTTCCAACACTTTCGTACCAAGTTCCCAAAATAATTTCTCTTTGTTTTAAAATACAGTTTGGTTTCTCGTTTCCATTCTGATCCTAAGGTAGAAATGAATCTTTTTAACAATCATAAAAAGCTCAAAAACTGAAAGGGCTGAAGGAAAAATATGATTCACAAGTTCAGTCTCGATCATCAAAGACTTTCTTTAAGGCAAAACTACTTAAAATTCATCCATATAGTCCCGTTGCCACCTATAGGGCCTTGCCCACAGCACTCAATAAAAGTTTGATGCATCAAACAAGCGAGAACAAAGTTGCCTTTGCAAAGACCTTCTTCCTGGGGGAGGAAACATTCTGTGAATCACTCTAGGAGGAAGGAAAAAAGGACAAAGAGCTTGAAGCCCTGAATCAAAAACACTGATTCCACATGCTGGGCTCAATTCGGCACAGTTTTACCTAATGCTAGTGGCCAACCTCCTCCGCCATCCCCTGCGACAGTGCAGGACTCCCTCCCCTGCCCTTGACTAGACAAGAGAATTTCTTTACATAAGATGTTGTAACAAAATAGGAAGGTATAAAAAGAAACGAAGTTCCTCTCAACTACAGAGAAAGGAAAACTGCAAGTCTGAAAACCCACCATAAATTGCCTTTCTCTTAGAAAGCCTGCTGTCCGCAGTGAAACCTCGCCCGCCACATTTTTTGTGGCTGAGTGGAACTCCTACGCCCAATCGGCCACGCTGGGCTCAAGCTACTGACTCTGGGAAAAGAGCGTACATGAGAAGATGGGTGGACAGAAAATAGTAAAAATGCTTTTTTTCTTTTCTCAGCATCCAGTAGAATGAGAAAAATGAGAAAGACTTTCATTTTGATCCGCTCTCTGAAAAACTAACTTTATAGGAAGATGAAACACGAGCATGAACTTTTAATTTGTAATTATTTTATACTTTTGCCTACTCAGTCTCACATTAATTATTCGCATAAACTAAGTGAATATGAGCCGTCAATAATACTTGTTTATTAGCATGCTGGTGAGTTCTTTCCAAATAAGGTTGCTCGCCAAAATGGAAAACTACCAGTCATATCCTGGTTGGAAAGAACACCTGTCTGCTCTGGCCACCAACTATTAAATGTTAACAAGATGTTGAAAGGCTACAGGATTATTTCATTTCCCTCAATATACAATATACAAATGTCTAAAATAAGAAAAACTGAATGAGAGTCTGGGACTTGCCCAAGAACACAGTGCAGATCAAGAAGATGTAGGAAGGGAACATGCATGAGAAACACGCCTGCCCCTCCTGGCCTTCAGCCCATAGACAGGTCATGGTGGTCTCTCTGGGTAACACTTCCTGCTGCCTCTTCTGAGGACACTGCCCAACATCTTATTCTGGTGTAGTCATTTGCTCCCAAGGCTGCCAAAAAGGCTGATGATAGATACCCTAAGCACAGCTTCCTCCCTAAATGCACATATGTAAATAAATATTTTCAAAAAGAAACGGTCAAAACATCACATGTTCTCACTTATAAGTAGGAGCTAAGTTATGAGGATGCAAAGGCATAAGAATGATACAATGAATGAACTTTGGGAACTCAGAAGAAGGGTGGGGATGAGGGATAAAAGACTACACATTGGATACAGTGTACACTACTTGGGTGATAGGTGCACCAAAATCTCAGAGATCGCCACTAAAGAACTTACTCATGAAACCAAACACCGCCTGCCCTCAGAAACCTATTGAAATTTAAAAAAGAAAAGCAACTTGTTTTCTCCAAGTACCAAAACTTTCATGGAGTAAGCAACAAAGTGAAAAACAGACACTTGGATTCAAATAGTACAAAGGTCTCATGCTCCAAATAATGCAAAATACCCACACAGAAACCACAGGAACCTGTATGTCTGACTCGGCTTTGTCAAAACATCCTTACCTACGACAGATGGTTTAAGGTAGAGGTTTTCAAAAATTTACGTGACTGTGACCCACAATTAGAAATCAAGAAATGAATTTCACATTGCAACCATTTATGTTTGGTGCGTGAGTCTGCCTGGGTATGTATAAAGCTGAAACAAAAATGTCACAAACAATACCTACCTTTATGACATGGAATGCACTCTGATATTTTCCATTTTATTCCATTCCACTCAATAGTTCATTAATTTAAAATGCTAGTTATGGTCCATGAATTGGTTTTACAAGCCACTGATTCTGACTTGCTGTTAAAAGGCATATTGGTTCTCAAGCTAGAGCATCAGAAAATTCTACTGTAATACTAGAGAAACTAATCAACATTACGTCTTACAGCTTTTATCAAAGGTTGATGTAAGAGACAATCTCATGAAGAATGTTTCTGCATCTTTGTAAAAGTGCTATTAAAAACAGAACATCACATTGGTCAATGTTAGTTATATAAAGATCAGGGCCTTGTGTTCATGGATTTGTTTATTCATTTATTCCCTGTACCTTGAAAAACATGAGTCCTTATGCTAAGAAGTGAGGAAATAATGAGAAATGAAACACACAGGTACTGCCTTCAAATAATGCATAATTTAAGTGGAAAAAAAAAAAGTAAATAGGCAATTAAATGATAATGGTTTGCATAATATGCTATGAAAGTACATTAGAAATGCACTAAACCCAGATTTGAGAGGCTAGACTGGGCTAAAGGCATTCAAGAGTAAATGGTGATAGCTACGGTGAGTCCAAAAGAACGAGGAACTAGACAGGCACAAAGTTGGGGAAACAGTGCTATGCAGAGACCAGCAAATGTCATATCTTGGGAGGAGAGGAAAAAAATAGTGCTTCAGAGAAACTGAAACAAGTTCAGCAAGAGTTCTTTAAAAAAAAAGTGTAGATGGATGAGGCTGGAAAGGTAAAACAGCATCTGCCAAGATCATGAGAGGTCTTATAAGCCTTGGGGTGTGGACTTGGTCCTAAAAGCAATGGGAGAAGTTCTACTGCCAGTTAGGATATCAGAGGATGCAAAAGACTTTCACGCCATGATAAAGTAACACTCAAATAAAAATATTCAAATAATAGGAAAATCATACGTAATTATGAAACTGAAGAGAGGTAAATGCCACGAAGCCTAGATGAATGAATTTCTAGAGACAAAAATCCTTGCTAGGGGAGTAGCAGGCCAGCCATGGCAGCTTTCAGCAGCAAACTGGGCCTAGTAAGTAGGTAGAAGACAAAACTACTCTTGGGCCTTTGGGCCCAAAGCAGTGGCCTCATCAACACCCAGGGAGGCTGTTAATCAGGCAAACTAGAGATGATCAAAACTGAGGACTCATCCCAGATCAACTTGACTCTTGTTAAAATCTGAATGATCATCTCTTTGTCTTAGGTGCTAAAGTAGAAAAAGGTTCACACTCTTGGGGAAAAATAAAGACAATGAGAAGCCATTGAGGGCATCTGAGCAGAGGGGAGAGAGGACCAGATCTGCTTTTAGATAGGTCCCTTTGACTACAGTGTGGACAACAGCATGGAGTGGAGTTTAAGACAAAAAAGTAGGGAGAACAGGAGGCTGTGGCAGGAACTCATACAGGAGATGACAGTGACCTGGTTGAGATTACTGGAGGTAGAGAGAAGTATTGATGGAAGAGCGATTTAGGAAATAAAATGGACAGGACTGGGTGATTCAGTTGATTGCAGGGAGTGGGGAAAGAAGGAGAGAAAGGGTGAGAGCTGACTCACAGACTCCTGGGGTAAGAACTCATATATGCCAATGTCTTCCCTGAGAGGGGCACATTGGAAGAACCAATCAGGGGTTACAGTCAGCAATGACAAGGTGCTGAGTGTGATGTGTCTGTCAATCAGTCAAGTGGAGATGCCCTTTGAATCTATGAATCTGGAGGCCAGCAGAGCTCTAGACTAGAGAAAGAGTTCTGGGTACATTCAGCATCAAGCTATACGATCATCCAGGGACAACACGGGTTGAGAAGGAGGATTAGAAAAGATGCCTGAGAAACATAAGACATTGGAGAAACATAAGACATTGAAGGGATAGATAGAAACAACCGAGAAGGAATGACCAGAAAGAAGGATGAACAAGGACAGGATGCCACTCTGGAAAGCAAGAGAAAGGAGTGTTTCAGGTCAACAGTCACCGGTGTTAAAGGTTGCTAAGAGGTGAAATAGGATAAAAACTGGAAATTATTAATTTGATTTAGCTACAGCAAGGTTGCTGGAAACCTCAGTGAGATAGTTAAGGAGGCTGGGAGTTAATGACTCGTAAAGGGCTGAGCATGGAGCTGAGAAAATGGAGATAGAGTAGTGAACTCAAGATGTTCTGCAGGGTAGGAAGAAGATGGCATGGTGGTGGTGAGAAGTTTTAAGATGGAAAAACTAGAGGGTGGTGAGAAGCACCCAGGAGCAAGGTAGACGCTGAGCACAGAAGAAGTGAAAGGTGCCACCTTGGTGGTCTAGCAGGGCCTGCCAGGGGCAAGGGAAGGGGGAGCAATGACAATTGTGCAATGTATTTGCAAATCTGGCACTGGCCTCTGAGCTCCTGTGGGGAAGGGCTGTGCAGCTTTCATCTGTGCATTCCCAGTGCCTGGCCCACACAAGGCCAGTTGAACGAATGAACAACTGGGATGATGAAAGGCAATGCTAGATAGGTAAGGTAAAGTGAGGTTTCAGAAGGCCTTGAGTGCCAGTCTTGGAAACAACAGCTAAATCCAATACGCAATGAAGACAACAAAATGGTTTTCTTGCAGAAATCACATAACAAGTCACTTCTGTTTTAAAAATATTACATGAACACTATCATGCTATAAAGTATACAAACCCATATACAAATAACAGGGCCACTTTCAAAGTGGAACATCCTGGCTCGATGGGTGCCATGCTCTGATCCTTAATCGGCCCTAACTCTTCACCCCGAAAGCCCAACGCATTACAGTAAGGCTGCAAATAGCTTGAACCTTTTTTGATAAGGAGGTCAACACTCCTTGGGCTTAATCTAGTGTCTTTTCAAAGGCCTCCCTGGACTCCCCCTCCTGTTGTTAATGACCTCAGGCAGATGCAAGCCACAGACTAACAAAGATCAGCACACATGCTCAGTTTTGGTTATCACTACAAAAGAGCCACCTCCATAACCGTGTTATCTTCACCACTGAATCGGCTAGACCAAATCAGGATGCCTGTCGTATGACTGTTGAGATCCTGCAGGTTCCTGTAGGAATTGTTCCGATCTAGGGAATTGCAAAGTAGGAATTTAAGATCCCAGCCCTCCAGAAGTGTATCATCCATTAGATTATAAACTAGAATGTTGCCTGGCACACAGCAGACATAAATATCTACTGAACGAATTTAAATGACTACAGTTGATAAGATTTTGCCTACACGCACCAATAGGAAGACTATAGAAGTAATAGGGAAAACTGCTTAATTGATTCACCCATATACATCGAGTTAAAATCTTTCTTCATAAGAGATTAGGCAGATGCTTCATTTAAAACATTGATTTTTAACTGTTATTTAAAACCTATAAATCCTACACAAATATCATTTAGTTGCCTAAGTAAGCTTCTATACTTTCCCCAAAGGTGATTTATTAAGCATTACATAATTTAATAGTCTAATGGCTTATTCTCTGAGATTAAAATCTATAACCAATTGTTTTTTCCATTTAAACACAATCAAAACTAGTTGGCTGCCTAGAAGCAACCATTGTTAGGGACATTCTACCAAGTATGACATACTTTTTTATATCATTTCTTCAAGGGCTAAAATATTCTTTACTGTGTGTTCTTTTAATATTTAGCAAATATAATGTTCACTTTCCTATCATACTAACAACCACCATTCACAGAGTACTCACATATCAGTAGAGATCCCAGTGCCAGAGACCCACCTCTCAAGTGGAAAAGAAAGTTTATGTTCAAAGTAGTTGAAGAAAGCTGTGATCATAGTTACCCTCCTCCTCCCGTGATGTAGCTGTAGCCGCCAGTGCCCAGGCCGTAGCCGTATCGCTCTCCCAGAAACACAGGCTCGCCAGAGTCATAACAGCTAAGCAAGTGCTGGAGCCTGGAGATACTGAGATGCCAAAGGGAACACAAATCATGATTATTTGATTCAAATGTGGTTACGGAATAGTTTATGGTTCTTACATCCCACTCTGTATACTGCGTCACACTGAACTGAAATAGTTAAGAAATTTGAGTGACTTATAGAATGAGTAAAATTTTTAAACAACAAACAAAAAAAGAAAAGAACACATGAACACTGCACATTACTGGGAACAGAAGAGAAACTGAGACACGAGTGGCTTGTTGCTCAGTTTTTGCAAGCCCCTGCCATAATACGGCTGCCTGATTTGCGTGGTGAGAGAGGCAGGTTACTGAAGTGAAGTTGGCCAGTGTGCTCTAGATCTTATTTCTACCAGTCCTGTTTCCAAGTGAGTGTGAACAAATCCTCACATCTTTTCAGATGAATTTGGTATTTAAGGAAAAAAATTTCTGATGGCCTAAAAAGGAGCCACTGAGATGCAAATGCACGTTGGGCCCCTGGCTGGCAGGTGGGGAAGAGAATTTGGGCAGTGAGGCTACCCTATAAATCCTCAGATAATGAGGCACAATCGTGCTTATGTTTCCCTTAACAAGGCCACCCAAGTCTGAGAACTTTCTGTGTCTAATTGCTTATACTTTTGAATACCTTTTGGCCCCTATCTGCCTTTAACACACGTTAGCAACAATAGCTTACAAAGGGCAGTGTATTAGTCTGCATTCTCTAAAGTCAGACTATCCATGAGTTGGTCATAAAAATGCCTGCAACTGCAGCTGCTGTTCGGATGAAAACAATGAATTTATAGGAAAAAAAATCAAAAAATAACTTTTTTAAGTAGACACAAAGGGTAGTGCTAAGAAAGGCTATTTTTTCATGTTTTAAGAATTTACACCACTTAGAAATGTCCCTTCCACCTATAAGCCTGCAAAATCAAAAGCAAGTTAGTTACTTCTAAGATACAATGGGGGCACAGGGGACACAGGAGGTAGATATTCCTGTTCCAAATGGGAGAAAATGGCCAAAACAAAGGGGCCACAGGCTCCATGCAAGTGCAAAACCTGGCCAGGCAATCGTTAAATATTAAACCTCCAAAGTCTCCTTCATTCCATGTCTCACATCCAGGACACGCTGATGCATGAGGTGGGCTCCCAAGGCCTTGGGCAGCCCCACCCCTGTGGCTCTGCAGGGGACAGCCCCTGTGGCTGCTTTCACAGGCTGGTATTAAGTGCTTGTGGTTGTTCAAGGTGCACAGAGCAAGCTGTCGCTGGATTTACCATTCTGGGGTCTGGAGGATAGTGGCCCTCTTCTGAGCACTCTACTAGGCAGTGTCCCAGTGGGGACTCTGTGTGGGGGCTCCAATCCTACATTTCCCTTCTGCACCTGGTGCCATAGCAGAAGTTCTTCGTGAGGGACCCACCCCTGCAGCAGACTTCTGCCTGGACATCCAGGTATTTCCATACATTCTCTGAAATCTAGGCAGACGTTCCCAAACTTCAACTTTTGTCTTCTGTGTACCTGTAGGCCCATTGCTATGTGGAAGCTGCCAAAGCTTAGGGCTTGCACCCTCTGAAGCAAAGGCCAAGCTGTATCTTGGCCCCTTTTAGCCATGGCTGGAGCTGGAGCGTCTGGGACATAGGGCACCAAGTCTAAAGGCTGCATAGAGCAGTGGGGCCCTGGGCCAGGCCCATGAAATCATTTTTCCCTCCGAGGCCTCTGGGCCTGTGATGAAAGGGGCAGCCGTGAAGATCTCTGACATGCCCTGGAGACACGTTCCCTATTGTCTTGGCTATGAACATTCAGCTTCTTGTTATTTACGCAAATTTCTGCAGCAGGGTTGAATTTCTCCCCAGAAAATGGAGTTTTCTTTTTTACCTCATGGTCAGGCTGCAAATTTTCCAAACCGTTATGCTCTGCTTCCCTTTTAAACATTAAGTTCCAACTTCAAACCATCTCTTTGTGAATGAATATGACTGAATGCTTTCAGAATAAGCCAGGTCACCTCATGAATGCTTTGCTGCTTAGATATTTCTTCCATCAGATACCCTAAATCACCTCTCTCAAGTTCAAGGTTCCACAGATCTCTAGGGCAGTGGCAAAATTCCACCAGTCTCTTTGCTAAGGCATAGCAAGAGTGACCTTTGCTCCAGTTCCCAATAAGTTCCTCATCTCCATCTGAAACCACCTCAGCCTGGACTTCACTGGTCAAAACTATTCAATAAGTTTCTAGGACGCTCCAAACTTTCACTCATCTTCCTGTCTTCTTCTGAACAATCCAAATTGTTCCAACCTCTGCCTGCTACCCAGTTCCACAGTCACTTCCACATATTTGAGCATCTTTTCAGCAACACTCCACTCCTGGTACCAATTTAATGCATTAGTCCATTTCACGCTGCTGAAAAAGACATACTCAAGACTGGGGGGAAAAGGTTTACTTTGACTTACAGTTCCATGTGGCTGGGGAGGTCTCACAATTATGGCAGAAACGAAAGGCACTTCTTACATGGTGGCAGCAAAAGACAACGAGAAAGCAGCAAAAGCAGAAACTCCTGATAAACCCAACAGATCTCATGAGTTTTATTCACTATCATGAGAATAGCATGGGAACGACCGGCCCTCATGATTCAATTACCTCCCACTGGGTCCCTCCCACAACACGTGCGAATTTTGACAGATATAATTCAAGTTGAGATTTAGGTGGGGACACAGCCAAACCATATCATTCCACCCCTGGCCCCTCTCAAATATCATGTCCTCACATTTCAAAACCAATCATGCTTTCCCAGCAGTCCCCAAAGGTCTTAACTCATTTCAGCATTAATTCAAAAGTCCATAGTCCAATGTCTCATCTGAGACAAGACAAATTCCTTCTGCCTATGAGCCTGTAAAATCAAAAGCAAGTTAATTCTTCCTAGATACAATGCGGGTATAGGTATTGGGTAAATACAGCCATTCTGAATGGGAGAAATTGGCCAAAATGAAGGGGCCACAGGCCCTATGCAAGTCCAAAATCCAGTGATGCAGTCAAATCTTAAATGTTCCAAAAGGATCTCCTTTGACTCCATGTCTCACATCCAGGTAACGCTGATACAAGAGGTGGGTTGCCATGGTCTTTGGCAGCTCTTCCCCTGTGGCTTTGCAGAGTATAGCCTCCCTCCTGGCTGCTTTCACGGGCTGACATTGAGTGTCTGCAGCTCTTCCAGGCGCATGGTGCAAGCTGTCTGTGGATCTACCGTTCTGGGGTCTGGAGGACAGTGGCTGTCTTCTCACAGCTCCACTAGGTGGTGCCCCAGTAGGGACTCTGTGTCGGGGCTCCGACCTCATATTTCCCTTCCCCACTAGTGGAGGTTCTCCATGAGGGCCGCCATCCTGCAGCAAACTTTTGCCTGGGCATCCAGGCATTTCCATACATCTTCTGAAATCTAGGCAGAGGTTCTCAAACCTCAATTCTTCTGTGCACCTGCAGGCTCAACACCACATGGAAGCTGCCAAGGCTTGGGACTTCCACCCTCTGAAGCCACAGCCTGAGCTGTACCTTGGCCTCTTTTAGATACGGCTGGAGTGGCTGGGATGCAGGGCACCAAGTCCCTAGACTGCACACAGCATGGGGACCCTGAGTCCAGTCCACAAAACCACTTTTTCCTCCTGGGCCTCTGATGTGGAGGGAGGGGAGTAGGGGAAGGGGCTGCTGCGAAGGTCTCTGACATAGACTGGAGACATTTCCCCCATCTTGGGAATTAACATTAGGCTCCTTGTTACTTACACAAATTTCTGCAGCTGGCTTGAATTTCTCCCCAGAAAATGGGTTTTTCTTTTCTATCGCATAGTCAGGGTACACATTTTCCAAACTTTTAGGCTCTGCCTCCCTTATAAAACTGAATGCCTTTAACAGGATCCAAGTCAGATCTTGAATGCTTTTCTGCTTAGAAGTTTCTTCCACCAGATACCCTAAATCATCTCTCAAGTGAAAGTTTCACCAATCTCTAGGGCAGGGGCAAAATGCCACAAGTCTCTTTGCTAAAACAAAGCAGGAATCACCTTTACTCCAGTTCCCAATAAGTTCCTCATTTCCATCTGATATCACCTCAACCTGTAGTTTATTGTTCATATCACTATCAACATTTTGGGCACAGGCATTCAACAAGTCTCTTGGCTAAAGTTCCAAACTTTCCCACATTTTCCTGTCTTCTTCTGAGCCCTACAAATGTCTCTAAATTATTCACCAAGATATCTTTTCTCACAGAGCAATAGTAACATTAACAGTTCTGGTGTCTCATTTTTTGGTGGGAGGGATGGGTAAGAAGAAAACAAAGTACAGAGATCACCTTTCCCATCCCCACTCGCGAGTCTTACAAAAATACCCTAGCTAACAAAGCTAAAGCTGAAAGTGAAGAAAACAAATTTAATATATGAAAAGAAACTCTGACCAGTGAAAAGTGTCCACAAGACTTCCAGTCAGGTTTCTATCTGTCTGAAGATCAAGGCCTCTGATAATGTTGATGGTTTCTGAGTGACTAGAAAATGTTCTTTGAATACTATCCTGTTTTCAGCACACAAGGTGACTCTAGGACTGCCTCGTAGTAAGAGTGGTGTAAAAATCTGGTCTGCTGTTCTCTACAAGGAGTTTGCTACTAACCTCTGCTATTTTATCATTGGTTTTGTTTAGTTTAGTTGCCAGTGATTTTCTAACTTTTAATTCTTGTAGATAGAGCTGCTTATATTTTTCCAACTCAGTTTTATTAGTCTTACAGAAAGTTTTCATTTTCAAGAGTTCAGATTTCAGATCTTTCTCAGCTCCCACCAACTTCTTATCGAAGCAATTTTATTCTCTCTTAACTAAGTTCTCTCAAGATGCTGCTTATGTCTGCAAAGACAGATTTTCTTTTAACTTTTCTACTATATCTTGTTTTCTTTTTCTTTGGTCTCTTTCTTGTACTAAATTTGTTTCCACATTCTTGTTGTACTAAATTTGTTTCCATATAAGTTTTGGGGCTTTCTGTTTTTACTCTGTAGTCAAGATAATCCCTCTTTTA